AGGCTTCGTCTGATCGCCAAAATAATGGTCGCAATCGATTCCTCGGGTCAATATCTAACCTCAGTCGAAGGTTCCAGACCTGTGGCTCCTATCCCTCATCCCTTAATCGTCCCTTAAATGACGGGGCGCGTCAAAACTGCCCCAAGGCTTCGTCTGATCGCCAAAATAATGGTCGCAATCGATTCCTCGGGTCAATATCTAACCTCAGTCGAAGGTTCCAGACCTGTGGCTCCTATCCCTCATCCCTTAATCGTCCCTTAAAGGACGGGGCGCGTCAAAAGTGCCCCAAGGCTTCGTCTGATCGCCAAAATAATGGTCGCAATCGATTCCTCGGGTCAATATCTAACCTCAGTCGAAGGTTCCAGACCTGTGGCTCCTATCCCTCATCCCTTAATCGTCCCTTAAAGGACGGGGCGCGTCAAAAGTGCCCCAAGGCTTCGTCTAATCGCCAAAATAATGGTCGCAATCGATTCCTCGGGTCAATATCTAACCCGTCCTTTAAGGGACGGATTTAAGGTTCCCGTCCTTTAAGGGACGATTAAGGGATGAGGGATAGGAGCCACAGGTCTGGAACCTTCGACTGAGGTTAGATATTGACCCGAGGAATCGATTGCGACCATTATTTTGGCGATCAGACGAAGCCTTGGGGCACTTTTGACGCGCCCCGTCCTTTAAGGGACGATTAAGGGATGAGGGATAGGAGCCACAGGTCTGGAACCTTCGACTGAGGTTAGATATTGACCCGAGGAATCGATTGCGACCATTATTTTGGCGATCAGACGAAGCCTTGGGGCACTTTTGACGCGCCCCGTCCTTTAAGGGACGATTAAGGGATGAGGGATAGGAGCCACAGGTCTGGAACCTTCGACTGAGGTTAGATATTGACCCGAGGAATCGATTGCGACCCTTATTTTGGCGATCAGACGAAGCCTTGGGGCACTTTTGACGCGCCCCGTCCTTTAAGGGACGATTAAGGGATGAGGGATAGGAGCCACAGGTCTGGAACCTTCGACTGAGGTTAGATATTGACCCGAGGAATCGATTGCGACCATTATTTTGGCGATCAGACGAAGCCTTGGGGCACTTTTGACGCGCCCCGTCCTTTAAGGGACGATTAAGGGATGAGGGATAGGAGCCACAGGTCTGGAACCTTCGACTGAGGTTAGATATTGACCCGAGGAATCGATTGCGACCATTATTTTGGCGATCAGACGAAGCCTTGGGGCACTTTTGACGCGCCCCGTCCTTTAAGGGACGATTAAGGGATGAGGGATAGGAGCCACAGGTCTGGAACCTTCGACTGAGGTTAGATATTGACCCGAGGAATCGATTGCGACCATTATTTTGGCGATCAGACGAAGCCTTGGGGCACTTTTGACGCGCCCCGTCCTTTAAGGGACGATTAAGGGATGAGGGATAGGAGCCACAGGTCTGGAACCTTCGACTGAGGTTAGATATTGACCCGAGGAATCGATTGCGACCATTATTTTGGCGATCAGACGAAGCCTTGGGGCACTTTTGACGCGCCCCGTCTTTTAAGGGACGATTAAGGGATGAGGGATAGGAGCCACAGGTCTGGAACCTTCGACTGAGGTTAGATATTGACCCGAGGAATCGATTGCGACCCTTATTTTGGCGATCAGACGAAGCCTTGGGGCACTTTTGACGCGCCCCGTCCTTTAAGGGACGATTAAGGGATGAGGGATAGGAGCCACAGGTCTGGAACCTTCGACTGAGGTTAGATATTGACCCGAGGAATCGATTGCGACCCTTATTTTGGCGATCAGACGAAGCCTTGGGGCACTTTTGACGCGCCCCGTCCTTTAAGGGACGATTAAGGGATGAGGGATAGGAGCCACAGGTCTGGAACCTTCGACTGAGGTTAGATATTGACCCGAGGAATCGATTGCGACCATTATTTTGGCGATCAGACGAAGCCTTGGGGCACTTTTGACGCGCCCCGTCCTTTAAGGGACGATTAAGGGATGAGGGATAGGAGCCACAGGTCTGGAACCTTCGACTGAGGTTGGATATTGACCCGAGGAATCGATTGCGACCATTATTTTGGCGATCAGACGAAGCCTTGGGGCACTTTTGACGCGCCCCGTCCTTTAAGGGACGATTAAGGGATGAGGGATAGGAGCCACAGGTCTGGAACCTTCGACTGAGGTTAGATATTGACCCGAGGAATCGATTGCGACCATTATTTTGGCGATCAGACGAAGCCTTGGGGCACTTTTGACGCGCCCCGTCCTTTAAGGGACGATTAAGGGATGAGGGATAGGAGCCACAGGTCTGGAACCTTCGACTGAGGTTAGATATTGACCCGAGGAATCGATTGCGACCATTATTTTGGCGATCAGACGAAGCCTTGGGGCACTTTTGACGCGCCCCGTCCTTTAAGGGACGATTAAGGGATGAGGGATAGGAGCCACAGGTCTGGAACCTTCGACTGAGGTTAGATATTGACCCGAGGAATCGATTGCGACCATTATTTTGGCGATCAGACGAAGCCTTGGGGCACTTTTGACGCGCCCCGTCCTTTAAGGGACGATTAAGGGATGAGGGATAGGAGCCACAGGTCTGGAACCTTCGACTGAGGTTAGATATTGACCCGATGAATCGATTGCGACCATTATTTTGGCGATCAGACGAAGCCTTGGGGCACTTTTGACGCGCCCCGTCCTTTAAGGGACGATTAAGGGATGAGGGATAGGAGCCACAGGTCTGGAACCTTCGACTGAGGTTAGATATTGACCCGAGGAATCGATTGCGACCATTATTTTGGCGATCAGACGAAGCCTTGGGGCACTTTTGACGCGCCCCGTCCTTTAAGGGACGATTAAGGGATGAGGGATAGGAGCCACAGGTCTGGAACCTTCGACTGAGGTTGGATATTGACCCGAGGAATCGATCGCGACCATTATTTTGGCGATCAGACGAAGCCTTGGGGCACTTTTGACGCGCCCCGTCCTTTAAGGGACGATTAAGGGATGAGGGATAGGAGCCACAGGTCTGGAACCTTCGACTGAGGTTAGATATTGACCCGAGGAATCGATTGCGACCCTTATTTTGGCGATCAGACGAAGCCTTGGGGCACTTTTGACGCGCCCCGTCCTTTAAGGGACGATTAAGGGATGAGGGATAGGAGCCACAGGTCTGGAACCTTCGACTGAGGTTAGATATTGACCCGAGGAATCGATTGCGACCATTATTTTGGCGATCAGACGAAGCCTTGGGGCACTTTTGACGCGCCCCGTCCTTTAAGGGACGATTAAGGGATGAGGGATAGGAGTAGAGTTGCAAAGTTTCCCCCAAAGGCTGCTACCGGCACCGCCCCGCCCCACAATTTTTTTGGGGGATACCGGCATGCTACCACGCCCAAAGCAAAAACACCACCAAATTACCGGCATACTAAAAAACCTGCATTGTTGATTCCAGTTTACTCCTACAAGAGATGCTACATTTTCCTCTTAGTGTCCAAAGTTTGAATCATATGCTAATTTTTTTTGTGCAAAACCAAAAATACCGGCATGCTACCGGCAAGACATGCCAGATACCACAAAAAAAACCTGCGGTAGTGAAAAATTACCGGCATGCCGGTAATGCGGTAGGGAAACTTTGCAACTCTAGATAGGAGCCACAGGTCTGGAACCTTCGACTGAGGTTAGATATTGACCCGAGGAATCGATTGCGACCATTATTTTGGCGATCAGACGAAGCCTTGGGGCACTTTTGACGCGCCCCGTCCTTTAAGGGACGATTAAGGGATGAGGGATAGGAGCCACAGGTCTGGAACCTTCGACTGAGGTTAGATATTGACCCGAGGAATCGATTGCGACCATTATTTTGGCGATCAGACGAAGCCTTGGGGCACTTTTGACGCGCCCCGTCCTTTAAGGGACGATTAAGGGATGAGGGATAGGAGCCACAGGTCTGGAACCTTCGACTGAGGTTAGATATTGACCCGAGGAATCGATTGCGACCATTATTTTGGCGATCAGACGAAGCCTTGGGGCAGTTTTGACGCGCCCCGTCCTTTAAGGGACGATTAAGGGATGAGGGATAGGAGCCACAGGTCTGGAACCTTCGACTGAGGTTAGATATTGACCCGAGGAATCGATTGCGACCCTTATTTTGGCGATCAGACGAAGCCTTGGGGCACTTTTGACGCGCCCCGTCCTTTAAGGGACGATTAAGGGATGAGGGATAGGAGCCACAGGTCTGGAACCTTCGACTGAGGTTAGATATTGACCCGAGGAATCGATTGCGACCATTATTTTGGCGATCAGACGAAGCCTTGGGGCACTTTTGACGCGCCCCGTCCTTTAAGGGACGATTAAGGGATGAAGGAAGGGAGCTAGGGCAAAATAAATGTCATATTCGTGTTCCCCGTCCCCCAATTGACCTGCTGACACTTTTTGAAGCGATTCTGAATCCGACGCTGTATTCGTTGCTGTTGCTGACGCTAACTTCACGGACATGATTTTTCCGTTATATTGAAAAGACTCACTTCGCTCGCTGCGCTCGCTCGCTCGTAATCATTGAGAAAACCCTTGATAAATGTATCCGAAATGACACACATGTATACTTGATGTGACAGATGTTCTGATAAACGCTTGGCTCATGGATGCATACAGAGTTTTTTTTTTTTACAGCATGAATGTCAGCTGTTTAGCTGTGGAATAGAGCAGTGTTTTAAATTGAATATTATCCAGCCTTGAACAGTTTATATTCGCTTTTGTAGCATCGGCGCCACTATTGACGACGGTAACGTTTTGGATAAGGTAAGGTGGGAATTCTTTAATTTTGTTTTTATTAACACCTATTTAAGTAAACCAATAGTATTATTGCGATTTTATTTAAATAGAGACTTTCAGTTTCACACATATCAATAATGGGCACTTCTGGGACCGGGCGTGTTCTGACTTCTGATGATTTTCACTCTCGCAAAACTTCAACTTTGATGAGTTTGATGTCAACTTTGATGACTTTGATGTATGCTTACGCCAGTGCAAATTGTGTGTAGGCTGGTTGGTAGTTTATAGGCTAGGAGGTAAGGCTAGGTCAGGATAGATTCTGGTTTCGGTGAAAGTAGGCGACTCGACCTAGCATGTGCGATTTAGCTAATTAGATTTCAAATGCTACTTCACGCTAAAAGACATCATTTGGAATGGTTTTAAAACATGAAACATTCCACCTTGAACTATCCATAAAACCCACAAAAATGCGGCATTAGTAGAGCAGACGTCACACGAAGGTTTTCCAACCAAGGAGAGGCACTGTAGGTTTGTAGGTTGTAGGGTAGGTTTGTAGGTTGTAGGTTGTATGTTTGTAGGTTGTAGGTTTATAGGTGGTAGGTTGTAGGTTAGGTTAGGTCAGGTTAGGTTAGGTTTGTTTAGGGTTTGTTAGAAAGAAGTACCTTCAGGCATAGCGCCTCTCCTTGGTTGGAAAACCTTCGTGTGACGTCTGCTCTACTAATACCAAAAATGCTTTCAAAACAGATTCCCAATTCCCCGGTCCTCCTCCTCCCCCGCCGCCTCGGCTTACTTCAAGGCCGTATCATAATCATTTAGCATGCGTCTCAGGTGCTCCCACCTTTTTGCGAAAAGTCCATAGACTTGTCAGTTCTTAAGATGTTTACCCAAATTTCCCTTGTAGAAGTCTTCATCAAATCGTAGGTATTACATAACAAAACATAACCTAACCTGACCTGTCCTAACCTCACCTACAAGAAACAACCTACCAACCTAAAACCTACAGCCTACAAACCTACAACCTACAAACCTAATGCTTCTTGAACCACCACATCACAATTGTGTTTAAACAATTTAAACAATCTTGTAAGCTGTGCTGGCGGTGATAATTGTTATGTATGATAATACTAGATATAAATACCGTAAGGATTAGGTTTTATCCAAGCGACACTTACTAATGAGAAGGTCTTCTATCAAATTATGTCTATATTGTAGGAATCGAGTGAAATTTGTGGCGGTCATGACACCGACCCTGACCCTTATTTACTCTAAATTCATCTACACATTTACCGGTTAGCGGCGACGGTGACACCAGCTTTATCGATACCTTGAAATGAATAAATGATGATTTTAAAAGTCCCCCGATCATTTCCTCTTTTTGAAACATCTAAAAACTGGACAAATTGGCAAAATAAAAACATCTATAGATCTTTTAAAAAATATTTTTGTTGCCCGACCCGGGCTTTTGTCGTTAGTAGCACACATTCATACTGGGTTAGTACACTATATACACGGCAGTGGTACGAAGCGTTTTCGGCACCCGCTACGCGGGACAGCCTTGACCGCACGCTTCCTGTCACGCACCCCAGGTGGCACCGTGACCGCACTGGTGGGCACGCTGGGGCTATCCCGATTTCTCGGGCCCGGCAGGTCAGAGGGCTGCTCCGAGACATGAAGCGAGGCCGTGCCCTCGGGACATGTCACCGGACCGAAGGATCTGTTTAAAGGCGGATCAGGCCCGTGTACCTGCGGCCGGGGGCGCTGGCTGGCACAGCGGTAATCCCTACGACCGAGCGAACACTCCCCAGTTGTGCCATCTCCTGGGTAGGAGCCGGCCGAGGAAAACGCTGCCAGAGGTCAGCTTTGATCCAAGGACCTCCCACACCAAACGTGAACGCACTTGCCAACTGCGCCACAAGAATGGTCTGAACAACTATAGAAATGTTAGATTGACTTGGACTTGCTCATCTTCATAGCTTAGACCTTTCATCCCTGCTAACTACAAGCCAAAACTTGCAAAAGTCACAGGGAGTAGGAAACACTCCAACCGAGTGTGGTTCGTTTACTCTGCATTGCAGTGTGATAATCCGGCAGTGTTCCATTTTTCAGACTTTTTGGTGGCAAATCACACCTAATGGGGAAAATATTTTCATCCCTAAAATATGAATGACCGATTTCACTTCATCTCTAAAAAAGTTTCATGTATTCCCAACAGCCAGTTTACATGTCACTTGACAGTTGATGCACCCACATCCTTTTGTTTCACACCCTGTCAAGATCGTGACATGTAATCCTGGTTTATCAGTTGGCATAAAAATGGCATTTACACCATTTTGCAAAAATACTTCAGTTATTTACTTCCTTTTTCTCATCCTAGGATTTTTTTTTCTTCATCGGTACACCCAACCAATATCCAATTTTAGAACACTGTAATCCGGTGCTGAATTTTTCTCTGGGGAGTATGAGCTCCGGCAGAATCCATTTTTGCCTACGTTTCCATAGAAAGCGAGCGCCAGCACCGGTAGCGTCACGTTGTGAACCACTGCCCGCTATGCACCTCTCAGTGGCATTGACCGGGCTGTCACGCAGCTGCCTGTGTTAACAGACACAAATTATAATATTCAGCGTGACCAGTGTGCTCTGTTCTTTCCGGTAGATTTCTTAGCGTTCTGACGCCATGCCGAAAGTGAAGAGGAGCCGCAAACCGCCGCCGGAGGGTTGGGAGCTGATCGAGCCCACTCTCGACGAGCTGGATCAGAAAATGCGCGAGGGTGAGTTAAATTTCGTCCATACAGTCTTCCCTCCTGACTTGACCCCCCCCCCCCCCGAGGCTATGGTATAAGGCTGAATGCATCTGTTCATTCATCCCATTCAGCCTGAATGGTGTGGTCATGAATCATGACTCTCAGTCTCAATGACTAAAATTATTTTGATTCACTCTTAAGTTGGTCGCTTTAGCTCATTCGCTCTGATTTATGACTTATTAACGCCGCTTGTTTTGTGATCTGCTTTGCGGTGATCATATCGCTAACTCTAGACAGTCGTGAGTAGCTGTTCTGCCACTGCATTACTGGTTACTGTTTTGACCGACATCTGCACGTCTGCTCACAGCTGAGACCGAGCCTCACGAGGGTAAACGGAAGGTGGAGGCACTGTGGCCCATCTTCAAGATTCACCACCAGAAGTCTCGCTACATTTTCGACCTGTTCTACCGCAGGAAGGCGATCTCCAGAGGTATGTGGTGAGACTTGCGCCTTTGGAGTCATCAGACGTATAATTTTAGAGTGAATGCCATATAGACTGAGGCGATTTATGAATATTCACAATTCACGTCATGACCTGCTCTTTTGTGCACTGTTGTGCACTATTTCGGTACATGCTTTTGTTTTAACAAATTTCCATGTGCTGTTGCTGGTTAGACTAGTCATTGGGCATAAATATGTGTAAAAACGTATATTTTCGTATCGGACATGAATATCCCGAATGGACACTCATAGATCAGTCGATCCCAGCTTGTTTCGCGATTCGCTTACACCATCACTGGAAGCCGATGACCTCGGCTTTTAAAAACCCAAGCCATTATCGTCACTTACACCGTCAAACGTTCTCTCTCCTTACCCACAGAGTTGTACGACTACTGTCTGAAGGAGCGTATCGCTGACGGCAACCTGATCGCCAAGTGGAAGAAGCAGGGATATGAGAACCTCTGCTGCCTGCGCTGCATTCAGACCCGCGACACCAACTTTGCCACCAACTGTATTTGCCGGGTGCCCAAGGCGCGATTGGAGGAGGTGAGAACTGAGGGTATAATTCTTGGAGAAACTCCTACTGTGTGACGCAATATGATTCTTGGAGACAACCCTTCTGTGTGACGCTAGCCGACATCCGTCCACCTAACAACGAGAGATCTGTGGACGTGCGGCACTTTTCGACGAGTCGATGTACGCGTGGTTTTCTCAGTCAGAGATTCAGAGAGACTCAGGGATTTTCAGTCCGTTATAACTCTGGACACTCGACAGTGAGCGTCTTTTTGGACATGCGACACTACCAGACTGTTTTAAATTTTAATTACCCTCGCATGTGTGCGGCGTTTGCCAGCTTCTAACGTGTAGGGTGGGGGGGGGGGGGTCGGTTTGCCCCCCCCTTGCCGTTTGGCCCCTGATCGAGCTAGAGCTTCGCGGAAAAAAACGAGCGTGTTGCCCGTGACGAGAGGAAGCCGATGATACCCAATTTTAAGGTCCTAGGTGATATTTAGGTCAATGACCCAAAAGTTGGGAAAATCGGGACCTGTTAGAAAGTCAAAGTGTGGCTGCAACCGCCTCTGTTATTCGTGAAACACCATGGGGGGGGGGGGTCCATCCGACACCCCTCCCTACACATGCGAGGGTTAAACAACTACCCAACTGGGCGACATGTCTCGGCGACTCCCCGACTGCACTCAACTCTTCGACACCTACCCGACTGTACGTCCTGTAGTACCGACGTTTGCTCTTTCATACAGCCATTTCAGTAATACACAACAGTTTTTGTGACGTCATCTCTGTATTTTCCAGGGTCGCGTGGTGGAGTGCGTACACTGCGGCTGTCGCGGCTGCTCCGGCTAGTCCATCCCAGTGACGTCATAACCCCGTTACGTCATCCTATCCCCTCACCGTCCAGCGCTTACCCGACATCGTCACACTACGGCTTGCGCTGAATATGACGAGTGCTGGAAGACTCGTCAATTCAGTGTCACGCCTCCAGCGGCAGAGAAGTGACTGGACGGATGCGTGTGCGTCCTTGTTGTGAGCCTGTGCACGGAGCTGCAACAGCGAGCAATGTGCTGTGTTTGCAAGGCTCCGGTAATGAAATGTGGACCCATTGGCTGTGGTGAGCCGGTCGGAAGTTCTGAAAAGTGTAGGTGCGGTCCGCATAAGTCCCGAAAGTGTAATGAGGCGGGTCGAATGTCTTCTGTCGTTCCGGCAAGTGTGTCAGCTTGAAGACAACCGCTGAAGGCTGACGTCGGATCTTTCCCAGTCCTGTTTCGTAGCTCACGAACGCCTGGCTAATGTGTAAAAGCACATTAGATGACTGTGGTGCGCTGCCGTCTGATGCATGGGCTTATGTTTGTACTTGTCACTAATGAGCTCGCCCATTGCACAATGTTACCGCTCATGCAGCCCGGCCATCATCGTTGAAAATATCGATGTGTTTGTCTAATTGGACTTAATTGTTATACGTGTTCGACTTGCACTATCGTTAATTGCTGTACATTTCGGGCAACGAAATTGGCCTTGCATTGATTTAGATTTACTGTAAGGCATTGGTCTCCCATGCACATGCTAGGTGGGCCTGTGTGTCTTGTGCCTCTTTTCGACGCTGGTCAGCGTCCTCCTGTAACATGGGTGTTTTGTGTTTGTAAATGATGCAGAAAAGAAACGTACATCTCCATCTAAAGTTCTTGTTTGAATCGTTTTCCTCGCAGCCATTGACGTTTGTAGGAGTATGAAAGCTATTGCGGTGGACGGTAGATATTCGCCAGTTTCGATGAGGATGAGGTATTGGCCCGTTTCAAATTGGCCTATGGGATCAACGTTTTTTTTTTAGTTATGTATTGCAGTATGTTGAAGAACAGTCGCTGAGTGTAAGTATGTTTCAACAATATAAAAGCGCAAACTGAACAAAATCATTCGAATTTCGATTATTTTACCGCTGATCCCCTATCTTGCGATTAGTGCTCACATATAGTAAACATTTAGTGGCGGTATATTTATTTGACCTTGAAATGCATCAGCTGAAAACACCAATAATGCCAGAATGGTAACTTCTGCGTCAGAATCCCCGCGTTGCGTAATGAGCAAGCGTTGATTACAAATCTATCACTTTTCGCGTGGACGCTGGGCGAGGATTTCAATTTAAACTCGCTCATGCATTAGCTGTAGAAAATAAGATTGTTTCACATTTTTGCATACGAGCTCTGAATCTCCGGAAACAAGCTCAGCACCGGATTGTAACACTGCAATGCAGAGTAAATGAACCACACTCGGTTGGAGTGTTTGCTACTCCCTGCGACTTTTGCAAGTTTTGGCTTGTAGTAGGGACGAAAAGGTGTAAGCTGTGAATAAGGGCAAGCTGATCTAACATTTTCTTAGAATAAATCAAAATGGCTGCGAATGAGTGCATGTATTTCTATGAGGATGAAGTGTACCGAATCACAAAGAGAGGCAATCTGGAGTTCGGAATGGTGCTTCAAAATGCAGATGTTGATACAGATGAAGAGGAATCAGGCTCTGAAGAAATGGAAAAATTAAAGAATGGTCACATACTAGTGGCTTGGCATCCAAGGGGTGAAGAGGATGTCATACATGAGAAGAAGGTCAGTAAAAGCATTGCTAAATATTGATTGTGAAACTGGCCGAGTCACAATTCCTTACCTACTATTTGTTGTTTTGTTACCACTTTTCTGTTTTTAGATACTTTGTATTGAAAGTGCAATTATTTAGAAGAAGCTTATTAAGTAAACAAGTTTATTTTCTATATGATGATGTTCATAAGTTTAATAAAAACTTTATCATTGTTTAATCAATCCAGTACATTTGTAAATGCAACAAATTACATTAATAATGGATTTATTGTTAGAGTGTTGCCAATTAAGTCAGCTTATAAAAATGGAAAAAAGTATTTTAATGCTGTGTTAATGCTCTTTGACGCAGCTTCAGGGAGATGCTTAGCTTCAGCAATTTCTTTGCTATCCACTGACAAGTTCTGAAGGTTGACAATAAGTGTGTAATAGATTAATGAAGCCTGATATTCTCAATATTTTTCCTTTCCTCTTGAATTGCCAATGATGGCTAATTTTGCAGCCTTGCGTGCACAAGAAAATTGTACCAAAACTTCTTATATCCACAAGAATTTGAGCTCCATGGTAGATGTGAACAAATGGTAACAATAGATCCCCTTCACATGGTTTCTTATCAGTCAAATTTTGGGTGCATTCGATGTTATAGCTGGTGTCTTAGGTGTCAACTGACAAGCGTGCACTCTTATGTATCAATCAGATTGATTCCTTCCAAGGATTGTCAGCAGGTTAGATTATTTTTGTGAATGGTAACTAGATAAGCAAGCTTGATCAAGAAAACAATACCTAAGTTACCTCCATGTGTGAATTGCTCATCATGTGAACTGTCAGGTCATATATGAAGCTGACCAGCCATCAGGTCTACTCTTAGGCTTGCATATTCTAGTTATTTCAAATCAATTTGAAGCCTGACATTTGGTTTGTTCCGAGTGTAGGTATTCTTGAAGTCCAGAACTACCTACTGAGGATAGAAGACTTGAAAATCATTTCCTTTCTCAATGATGAAAAACCTCTTTGCATTTCAGTTCTTTACATGATCCTGAATTTAATTCAGCCTGACTTGTAGTCATAAACTAAAACGTATTTCGTATTTCACCATAAAGAGTCTTGCTAAGGAGTCTGACCTTCCCTTATTGATAGAAGGGTTTCAGTTGGCAGCATTCCTACCTATCTTTGTGACATATTTATCTCTGTATAGCATTGGAAGATGTTCCTGACATTGTGGCTACAGGATCTCATGAACTGGTGCATCCAGGATCATTCTGTAACAGATGGGCCTCTCAGATTGTTGTGCTTGACTTGGCTGTTTTATGGTTTTATGGATGGGCTTCAAATTGGTAGCATCACTGAAGTTCCTGTGACAACACATGGGTTTTAGTAAGATAGTGTGTCCAGTCCATTTCCTATGAAACTGGTGGAGCAGCTACCCCCTATGACTGTAGTGAAGCTATCAGACTGTTGTATCTGATCCCTGTAACTGGTAGATGTTCTCATATTATGTCAGAAAACCTTCCTGACTGGTATGTGACCTCCTGCTGTAACAGAGTAAGCCTCTCAGAACTCCCTATTCCCTCTGTGACAGGAGGGTCTCTCAGATCAGTATTTGACCTCCCTATGTAAATGGTAAACATCTCCTACAGTCTGTAACCTCTCTGTAACAGGTGGACCTCCCTCCCATAATAGTCTTTGACCTGAGACCCATCTGTAAGTGGTAAACCTCTGTTTAAGTCTCTGATCTTCCAGTCCTGACTTACAGTCCTGTTCAGAGCTACAATCTCTGACCTGATCCCCCCCCCCTCCCCAATTCTCACAGCACTGGGCTTCTCAGACCTCAATCTTGCCTCATTGTGGTAACTGAGTGTAACTTAAAACTTCCTCTTTCCCCTGGTAACTGAGTTTACCTCTTAGTCCTCTGTCTAGCTTCTCTGACCTCCCCCAATATTATGTCACAGGTGAACCTCTTGGACCCATTTCCGACCTCTCTGGGACAGTTGAACCTCTCAAACCTCCATCTAGTCTTACCCCCCGGCCTCCCCAATTCCCACAGGCAGGCCTCTTGTTTCACTGTCTAATCTTCCCATGTAACCTAGTGAATCTCTGAAAACCTCCCTCTTCCCTTCTTCACAGGTGGGCCTCTCAAGCCACATTGTCTAATCTTCCTCAGTAACCTAGTGAATCTCTGAAAACTTCCCTGCTCCTTTTTTCACAGGTGGGCCTCTGAAGCCACTGTCTAGCCCCTCTCATACTTCTCCTATTCTCACAGGCGGGCCTCTCAAGTCACAGTGTCTAATCTTCCCACATAACCTAGTAAATCTCTCATCACTTCCCTCTTCCCTTTTTCACAGGTGGGCCTCTCAAACCTCTGTCTAACATCTCTCTTACCTCTCCCATTCTCACAGGTAGGCCTCTCAAGCCACAGTGTCTAATTTTTCATGGTAACCTAGTGAATCTCTGAAAACCTCCCTCTTCCCTTTTCACAGGTGGGTCTCTCGGACCGCTGTCTGATGCCTGGTGACATCGTGCGCCGTCTGGTACCCGGACAGGACACTCAGCGTGGCTACTGTCGCACAATCACCATGAAGGCCACAGTGCAGGTGGTGGGCACGCGACAGGTCATCTACAACGTGTCCAGTGATGAGCTGATTCCCCTGGAGGTGAGTACAGCGGCGATGGCTGTTTCGGCTGCCGGTTGGGCACAGATCGGCAGGGGTAGGTAGTTTCTTTCATAGCTCGGTTGGTAGAATATCGGTTTCCCGATCGTGGTAGCCCAGTTTCAAGTCGCTTGCTCGATTTTATTGATATTGATGGCGGGAATGGTCTGCGGTGCTAGGAACAGCTGCGACCGGTTTCAAGGCTTGTCCTCTCCGTGCAGCTATGTCAGACTCGCATTTTGCCTTACTGCTTCCTATCAGTGTTCTTATTAAACCACAGCTTTAAAGTCTCGATTGTCAATTATACACTGACAACTACCACTGCTACTACCACCACGACTCTGCTACTACCACGATTAACCACGTCCCTCATATTACCCCGCTCTCCGCAGGAATTTGCGCCCGACATAGCCGTCTGCATGGACGCCTGGGTGGGTATCATCAACTCGGTGACGTCGGAGGTGGAGCTGCAGTTTCCCGACGGATCCACCTGCCTGCTCACTGACGATGAGGCCGCCGAGCTCGACGACCCGTCCGGACGACGACTCACGGTGAGATTATCGACGAACGAAGGGAAACGGCGAGGGAGTAGAAAGGGAATGGAGGGATGGCGACTTATGGTGAGATAATCGACGGGACGAAGGGAGACGGTGAAGGAATAGAAGGAATAGAGAATTGAGTGAAGGGGGAAGAATATGACTCACGATGAGAGAACGGAGGGACGGAATAATGCTCACTCAGGGTGAGAGAATAGAGAGACGAACGGACGATTCCTCGGAAGGATGTAACTAGAGAGACGAGCGTATGTCGGCTGGGGATGAGGCAGTGACAGATGGACGCTGGTTTATGGTACGGAACTGACGGACACAAGTCCGATCACGATGTGATAATGGACAGACAGACAGACAGACAAACGGACGAAGGAATCCTTACGCTCAGGCACGGAAGGAAGGAAAACGTTTAATAGCTTATAGACGAACGAACAACGAAGGAACGAACGGAGTACGGACCTTGGGTTACGGTTAGGGATGGGCGCTTTAAACAGACAAGCTCATGGCGAAGATTAAATTACATACTTACCGATCGTGCCTGCAAATCGAACGCCATCTTGTCCCATTTCTCTGACCCGGGGTCCCGTTTCGTCCAATTCTCTGACTTTGGACACCATTGCGCTCCTTTCTTCCCACTCCGAGCATCGTTCTACCCGATTCTACTGACACCAGTAATGGTTTTGGCCCCGTGTCTTTTCCAGGACTCTGAGTTTCGTGTGTGGTTCTACCCGGGTCAGAAGCTGCTGGGACCGATGAAGGCTTTCCAGAACGCCGTCTGGACCTCGTGCTACAAGGACACACAGGCGCTCAAAGAGTGGCGCAATAAACGAGTCAAGGTAAGCCGATTATTTGATGGAGTGGTGAACCGTGGAAGCTGGCGTTATTAGAGAATTAGTC